GGGGGGATGCACCGCAGCGGCCGCGGACCCGCCGGCGGCGGCGCACAGGGCCCGGGCCCCGGGCGGCACCGCCACAGCGTGCAACATGATCTACGCAAATGAAGCCGTTGGGGCCTTTAGCGCCCCTCGTATATCCGGGAGGTGGTTAAAACTTCATTTCCAGCCGCGGCGGCCGGCCGGGCCGGGGGTATGCTTTACTCCCTCGGCTGTATCCTCAATAGCGGCCCGCGAAAGAGTATATAGTCGTAGATAGTGAGTGAGTGTGTGTTTCAACTCCCCGTTCTGTGCGCGGCAAGGGTAGGGGCCGTCTGTGTGAACGTTTCTCAAGCACCGCCGCCACCGTAGGCCAATGCCCAAACCGTTAACGCAAAAGGCGCACCCGCGGCCGCGCCCGGCAGCGCCCAGCAAGCACCGGTAGCGGCAGCGGCCCCGGGGGGCCGGGGACACATCTTCCTTGTCCTTCCCGGAACACTGATAGCGCCGGGGGCACAGTGTGCATGTGTTTTGGTGATATCGTCGAGTCTCAATCTGTCTTCGTGAGATCTGCTGGCATTCCCTCGTGACTCCCGGGCGGGTCTGGTGGCCGCGGGGGCCGCGGCGCGCGCAGCGGCGGGGGGTTGGGCTAGGTCGGGTTCAGTTAGTTGGTCAAAACGCCGCACCGCGGCGGCGGCCGTGGGTAAAGATGACGGCCGCAGAGTCGCAGTCCCGGAAGGGTTCCCTAACGGGCCGCGAGTGTCCATGTGGTCGCCGTGCACAGCGCCCCGGTAGCGGCTAAGAAACCCGAGGAGGGGGCCGCGGGATGTGAAGCGGCGAGGAGCGGCGGGCGACAATATAACCACACGTGTCTCACGCGTGTCCCGTGTCGCTCGGCACAATTCTATTGTCGGCCTGTGAACCCGTTCCCGCGAGCGGCGCAGCGACTCTTCTACTCCGCGACCATTATTGAGCGAGCACGCGTCTCGTCGCTTCCGTCCCGAGCCAGAGGCCCAGCAGCGGGTAATTAAGGTGAGCCACGAGGCCGAGGCGCGGCACCCGCGTAGCACTGGGCTTTATGGCTCGTGAAAACACGGACGGCCGGAGTCGAAGGGACATCCCGACGGACAGACGAACGGACACATCCTGACGGAGAGACGAACGGAGACATCCTGACGGACCAGAGGAGGGACTTCATCATGACGAACAGATGAAAACGGGGGAACCACGACGGAGAGACGATCAGAGGAGGGACTTCATCATAGAACAGACGAAAACAGAGGGACCACTCGACGGAAAAGCGAGCAGAGCAGGGACATCCAGGCATCATCCTGAAGGACGCGGAGGGACATTACGACGGACACAGACGAACGCGGAGGGACATCCTGATGGATGCGGTCGAACACCCGCAGGACACCCTCCGCACCGCGGCGCGGATGAGTTGAATGGTCGGGCTCGGCATAAACGCCGATGTAAGCCTCTGATCCGCGCCTCACGACACGCCGCCGAGGCCGCGCTGCGCTGGACGCGCTGGACGCGGACGGAGCGGGCGAGATTATTGGGCGGAGCGGCGGAGCGTGGCGAAAGGGAAAGGAGAGGCGGCGCGGGGCGGGGATGCGGCGGGGCGGCGGAGCAAACGCGGCAGGGAACGCAACTCATACGAGAGTCGCGCGCCGCACATGTGGAGTAACGACAAACATCAAAACGATGGCGTTTGAACACGTTTTACGCGTTAGTACCACTCCTCGGGGCGCCCTGCTGTAACTAACGGTTGTTGTAGCGGCTCTCTCGCGCTCGCGCCGATTTAAAGCTAATAATTGCCGTGAAAATATCTCTTTCTCTCGGGCAGCGCCGGCACGGCGCGGAACGCCCCCTTGTGGGCAGAGAGGTGGTGGAATGTATTTCGAATGGCCTCACCGCCCGCCCGCCCGCGGGTCGGTCCCCCGCCTCGCGGTCCCCCCGCGACCCGGGGCGGGCTCCGCTCCGCGGTCGATTCTCTCCGCGGCCGCGGGGCGGCGTTCTCGCGTCGCGGTTTGACATGACGCGCGCGGAGAGAGAAAACGCTTTTATATGCTTCTTTGCCTAACACCCTTGGCCTGATGGCCTGGGCTATTCATTTCGCAGCCAAGAGCGGGGTTTGGCGGGGCGTGGTGGGGCGTGGCGGGGAGTGGCGGGGCGATGCGCAGTTCGCAGCGCCGCAACCCACAAACGATCTAATCCGCCACGAGCCAAGTCGCCCCGACCGCAAGAGCGAATGACGCGGAGTGTCTCAGCAGCCGCCGGCCATCAGTACGGCACTCCGCGGGGTCACGTCGTCGTCGACGACGTCAACATTGTCGTCGGGGTCCTCCTCACCCACTCCACCGACGTGGTTTCGAAGATCTCTTCGTCGCAGAGCTCTTCGCCAACGGCAGGATCCACTATCGGCAGCCGACCCCTAAAATGCTGCCCCGGCGTCTGAAGTTCGTCTTCCAGTGGCTGGCATCCTAGCGGGCTTGTAGCACCGGTGCGACCTGTTGGCCTCCGTGTGCCCCGGCCGCGAGGCGTTGCACCAGTGCAGCACCAGTGCACCGCGCTGTGAGACGGAAGTCACGAGCTGCACTGCTCCGCACAGCTGCACCGCGCCGCGCTGCACCGCGCTGCACGGCCCGCCTGACCCGCCGCATGCACCGCGAGATTGAGAAATTAGCGTGCGTCAGAGTGTTCTGCATCGCGCGCGGCCGGCATACCGTACGGCCCGGGGGCGGGGCGGGGCGGGCATGGCGTGCAGGTGCATCCAGTTGCATCCTCCTCCGGGCTGGATGGATGACAAGTTGCAATCCATCTGGCGTGGCGGGGCGGGGCGGGGCGCG